TCATTTTTACAAATAATTTTTTTAATTGTGTTGTTATTTATTTAATTGTTCTAATTTTTTGATTTTGTTGTGTTGGTTCCCTGTTATGCCCTGACCTGACCGTGCTTGTTACGTATATTTAGAGAGACAGGTACCGGTTGCGGGTACGCGCTTCAGATCGTGGCGAGCCTCCATCGTATGCGGACGTTGACGTTGAATTAGACGTCGTGGACAGAAACAATAAGCCACCCCTCTGGGACTTGAACATGTACGGCCCCATTCACATCAAAGAAAATGTCACAGTTGGTACTGTAGTGACTTCCGTTAAGGCCAGGTTGGTATCAACGGTTTGGCTACTACCAAAAAAACTGGTGTGTGGAGATTCAGGAATTTTCAGTTATCTCGTGAGGGTGGGTGGGGACTAAAAGTGACTCACTTTTGATTCACTTTTAGTAAAAAAAAGATTCGTAGGGATATCAAAACCGATTTCTGACAATTCCTAACACAATCTCTTAAAGTTCCCTAAGTAAACACCGCACATTGAAATAACACCGGAACTATTTTTATGATTAGACTTAATTATCTAATGATATTAACAAGAAATTTGTAAAACTAATCAACTCGACATCTTAAAATCGATGATATTGGCCAGAAGGACTACTTGGACGACGCCCTCAACAAAAATATCTAGAAATTTAAATAACACAAAGCCACTAAAAAAACTATCTTGTCCGTTTTTTCTGTTTTTTGTTTTCTTGACCGTCACACCGCGTTTATGACACGGTATAGCGAGAGACGTACAAGCTGGAGGCGACGGCACAGGACAAGGGCTTCCCGCCATTGTCGCGATCGGTTGAAGTCCAAATTGACGTCGTAGACCGCGCTAACAACCCGCCGGTTTGGGACCACGTCGTCTACGGCCCGATCTACATTAGGGAGAACCTGCCCGTTGGCGCTAAAGTCGTTTCAGTTAAAGCCAGGTCTGTTTATGACCTATTTAGAAACAAAAAAAAATTAAAGATAACCATAATAATACTGCTACTATATTCGGTGTGGTCCTTCTTGTTTTATTTTTTAACTTTGGTTCAGATTTCTTTCTTTGTATGTATTTAGATTATTTAAAAATAATTATAAATTATACACAAAACTTTATTTGTCAAGCATATATGAATAATCTAAAAACAATCTTGTTTTTTTTTTCGTACTGAACCTCAGTTTTTTCTTTAATTTTTTTTTATTTTCGGTTCGTTTTCTTTTGGGTTATTGTTCCCAACCGCGCGGTTTTTGCACGATAACCGCGCGGTTTACAATAAATAAAGGAAGATCCTTAGTAACCAAGTAAACGTTTGCGTTGGCAAATTCATTTCAAAACGAAAAAAAAGTACAACTATATGGTCATTTTGCACGCTTTACCTGTACGTTTTAGGAAAGAAGACCCTGAGAGATGGTTTTAAGCACGTGCATCTCATCAGAGGTCAAACAACAAAATAAATTAAAAGATTTTTTGTCACATCTTTAAGTTTAAAACACAAAAATTATCCTTATCCTTAAAATATTTATTATTTTTAAAGTTCACCCACATTTAGTTGTTTGACGGCAACGTTAGGGTTCTGAATGGGAATGTGGAAGGTTGCTATGTTGGAAGCTTGTACGTCCACACTGGTTTCAGGATGTTAGCTTGATACCTAGTTGCTTGCGTTTTGAGAAAATATATGTTTTCCATGTAATATTTTGATAGAGGTGTTTGACATCTTTTGCTTGTAAATTTCTCTATGTATAATAAAGATGAGATCCACTTCTAAATTATCTTTAAATTATGTTGCAGATTCATCTAAAAGCAGATTACATCAGTGTGAGATGCTAATATTACGTTATCATCAGCATATATTGCAAGTGGTACTTTTCGCTTATGGCAGATCTGACATATACAATAGGTACATTATTGGGTCCAAGACGCAACCTTTGAGGCACTTCTGATAGCAAGGGATATAAATTGAAATTTTGTTTCACCCATCTGTCAGATACGATTTCAGCGGTAGATAGCGTGGAAGATGTGTCACATCTTATCAAAGGTTTGAGATATGTCGAGGAAAGCTGCAGAGTAATATCTTAGATTTTTATTAATTTGATTGCCATATCATAAAATTGCTGGTTTCTGCTTTTCCTCATAAATACTAAGATCAGATTTTAATCATAACATCAAATATCCTCATCATCCATAAACACTCAAGACGTCATTGACATAAATGTGGAAAGCCGCTAGGCTTAATGCATGTTAATTAGGGTCTAGACGTCTACTTGGCCACCAAATATATCAATCTCCAAATCTCTTCACCATTTCTAATAACAAAGAGGAGAAACTATTTAATCGAAATGTTGATAACAAGTAGTTTTGAAGTAGTTGAAAAAATTACTGAACCTAAATATATTCTGGGAGATTTTTAACAAAAGAAGTCTTTTTAACCATCTATTCTCAACGGAAATGTTTTCTATATAATTCTTCAAATCACAGCTTAGAACAGGCTGGTCTACGCCAAAGCCAATTAAGGTCTCAGATTGATTGTATTTGAAAATGACAAATCACTTTTTCTAGGTTTCTAGTTCTAGGATTACTTAAATGATCAACTTCGTTGCAGTGTCCTTCATAACTTCAGAGATCAAACTAACGTTGTTCTCCTTGGTGTATGCAGTTTCAAAGTGACACCATCTTGTTCTGATAATGTATTAATAATCTGCTTCATTCTGAAAACGAAAAAACAACTATCTCGTACAGATTTGAATTTAGCCTTAATTTGACTTTGTTCATAACCTCAACCCTATCAAGATTGGAACAAAAAGCTCAAAATGGTACTAGTTACTACTATTCTATAATCTAAATCTTTCACTATTAAGGTTATTATCAAAGCCGAAGTATCTTACGGCTGAGGCCCCATTACTTTAAAGTATAAATATGAACCATTGGGGAACTAATATTTTGCAACCTAAAGCCGAGGTCGGTTGCGGCCGAGGCCCAGTTGCTTTAGAGTACAAACATCAACTCAACCAAACCTAACCATTGGAAAATCAATATTTTACTAAGGCCGAGATCGCTCGCCCCAACGATTGATGTGTTGGCATCTATGGTAATATTCTTTTGCCTTGGTCAATATAATTTGATTTTGTTCATAACCTAAATCCTATCGTTTGTAATTTAAAGTTGTACTCGGAAATGATAGGACCCCTCAACCCAATTCATTCGATGGATTATCTTGGTCGTTAGTCAGTCCAACGAATGACCATTTTTAAAGACGATCTTTAAGACCTGATTTGTATGTCATCGAAAACTGCGTGATTTATGAGTACCTCCATATTTATTTCATAACATTGATTATAGGCAACACAACTTACATCTAACACAGCATGTAGGGCAAATCCCACAATTTTCTTTTTTGGATGAAAGCAAAGTCATTTTTTGTTTGTTCTCTATGCAAGAAAGTTGGAATATAATTTTCTGGAATCTGCTGAAATTGTAAATGGGTTGAATTAAAGGTCAGTATGCAAAATTCGTCTCACATTGCATCAGAAATGCAAAAAGATAAGGTTTTTATGAACGCTATGGAATCGCATCCCTTATTATGGCGTTGTCATTTTGGAGTGTCTGGTTGATTTTCAGTTATCTTACATAATTGGTGTGATAATGACTGAAAGCTTTGTTTTTTTACTCTAAACCGCAACTTTCTGCCTACTTTAGGACCCTATAATTTACATCCTATCCAAAAATTAACCAATTTTTATAAATTATTGTATTACATATTAATTTTTTTTGTTTTAAATTTAAAGAAGTGACATTAAAACTTCTTTTACTTTCTACTTCTTTCATCACACCGAAAAAAAAACCTTAACAAAAACATTCTATTCACATCTATTTATTACAGAAGAACGTAGCAATACACAAGAAATTACTAAATTAATTATAAAACATAATAAAGAATGGCTAAAAAAAAATATTGAAAATTGAAAGAAAAGTGTTTTTAGAGGCCTGGTTGTGTGTAGTCCTTCCAGTTTTATCGACCAGACGTGTGATAATTAGTCAGACCCTGTTGTAGTTTTTCTCTGTCTCTCTGGAACGTTGTTGACGAATGCACAGTACACGCAATAACACTGAAAGCTTAGGGGCATTGGGGTCAATTGCACATCAACAACGTTCTAAAACGGCCCCCCCCTTATTTGTCTCGGTCGAGTTTTTAGCGTTTAGATTCCGAAAAAACTAATGACATCAATCATTCGGTTTGTATTTTGTTTTATTAATAAGTAAATATTTGATTACATTTTCTAATCAACTAATTTTTTGATGTTTTTAAAATTTTTTTAATAACCAATTTTTTCGTCCAAATTTCTTAAAAAAAGAATTAAAATAAAAACGTTTTTAATTTTAAATAAGAAGGTTTTTGTTTTTGTAATAAATGTTTTTGTGCATGTCGATTTTAAAAAGTAGGATTTTTTTAAATAAGAAACTTGGACGTTGTTTTTATTAAAAATGATAATAAAATAATGGTGTCATTAACACATCGTTCCAAAATGCATGCGAACGAAACGTTTTGATTTTAATTTTGATTTTTTTAATTAATTGCATGTTGGCCAAAATTTTGTAAACTTTTTTAAGAAATAATTTTTGTGGTAGATTTTGGGCCAGTATTTTTGTTGGTGTAATAATTACTTTAAATCTAAAAGGAACGTTTTTAACATGTGTAGCTCTGGCATAGAAAACAATCCAACCGTCTTTTATCGACTCATGCCCGGTTCAACTGCACAAACAAATAAATTTCACACCTTTTATCTGCAACAACGTCCGGATAACGGTTTTACTTGGGCGGACATCAAAGTCAATCATCCTTTAGATTACGAAACTATAAAAGAATACAACTTAACTATTCGTGTTGAGGTTTGTAACAAAACACAAATTTCGGTTAAGATACTAAATTTTATTGATTCTTAAGAATAACGGAGCTCAACAATTAGCGTCCGAAGCCACCGTTTACATCATGTTGGAAGATGTTAACGATGAAATCCCTCTTTTTACCGAACGCGAACAAGAAACCGTTTTAGAAGGAGAACCAATCGGGACTAAAGTTACTCAAGTTAATGCGATTGATAAAGATGGAACCTTTCCTAATAATCAAGTAAGATTCTTGTAATTTAAATAAGATTTTTCGACTCAAAAAATTTTTATAGGTGTATTATTACGTTGTTGAGTCTTCACGAAACGAAGGAAAAGATTACTTCGAAATTAATCAAGATACGGGGGAGATCTTCACCAAAATCGTCTTCGATCGAGAAAAGCAGGGGGCGTACGCTTTGGAGGTGGAGGCGCGTGATGGAGCACCATCAGCCAGACCGAATAGTGACAATCAACCAAATTCAGGTAGGATTTTTTGTCTTTAAAACCATAATAACTAATAGAGTTTATTACTGACAAAGAAATAAAGTGGTGAAGGAAATTAAAAAATGAATTACATCGATGTAGATGGTGTAGAACGTAAAAGAAAGTCGTTATTCGGGGTTTACAGAACGATCTCTACCATCTGGGAAGAAATCTCCATCCTCCCTCCTCCTCAAAGCAATTAGGATGGAGACGTAGCCTCCAACTGAAACTAAAGACTCTCCTAAATCCGTTGAAATTAGCTAAATGAAATCGCGGATCTAATTTATGAACGCCCCCCTTCGCGTGGGGCACGCACTTACAAATGCTTCTTCAGCAAGAAGCTTCCTCTAGCTTTTCCAGCTCCTAGCTCTATTTTACGATTCTCTCGTAAAACGTAGACTTTCCTCGACGACTTGAAGGTCCGGAGAAGCGGCCCTTACCTTTAAGGAAATTTAAACAGATTGGAAATGAATATTTAACGACTTGGGGTCGGTGGAAGGGAACCTTATCCCTTTTGCACCCTCCAAATGATAAATTATTCAATTGAGAGTCGGGTTAGTTGCGATTTAAGTGGATCTTAACGGGGGCATTTGTACGAAGAGTGTTAAATATGAAAAATTAATTTTGAAAAGTTTCTTTTAATTCACTTAATTTTTAGTCGTTTTGAATTTAGATACGCTAACATTGTCGGGGATTTAATATTTAATTCCGATAAACGGTTTTGGATTATTATTTATGGCTCGATACTGTCAATATTTGAAATGACAATGTGGTTATTGTTTCGGTTTTCGATCGATAAACACGTAATACAAGAGATTTTACCATTAATCTGCAAATTGTTTAATGTTGGTATAACAATGAAGATCATTAAGGGATATTAATAATGGGATTAAATTTAGTAAAGTTGGCAATCACTTTAAATTGATTACAAGATTTTTTTTTTTAAATATTTATAAATTCATTTGGTTTAATTTTCTGGGTGAAATAAAACTATTTACATTTATAAATAGTAAAAATGCGGAAAACTAGAGGAATCTGTAATTCTATTTCTGTAGCTTATAATAGATGGTGGCGCTTTTAAACTTTGAATTTCTTATTTTTGGTACAAATTACCTTCTTTTCTCTACGTCGTATCGCTTCTATGATTAATGTTTAACCTTCGTAGACACCACAAATCTCTCCTCGAGCACCAAGTGTTCGACGTCAGTTCTTGGCGTCACTTTCTGTCATGTAATAACATTTCTTTCTATTACAACATTTTATAACCTGCTCTTTATTATTACCTTATTAGTTAAGTAAAAACTTAAAAATTAAATTTGTTAATAAAAAAATATTCAAATTCATCAAAAATACTAAGATTTTCGTATAGATCAGAAAATTCTAACCTAATTTGATGTATCACACTCTATATCTATCATAAAATTCACTCTTATAAGCATAGATGACACATTTTCTTAGTGTTTTGTTTTCGGCCATCTTGTTTTTGTAAAAATAAAGATTTCTTGGGTATTATAACACCTAGATATGTCGAGTTTGGACTCATTTTACTCGTCTTTTAATTATCTTTAGTAATATGTACGAATCTTTGATTTTCGGCCATCTTGGATTTGATCAAAAATGTCATAATCAAAATATCTTGGAGAGTTTTATAGCAAAATACGTCTCGTTTAAATTCATTTCAAAAGAAAGTTCACGATAATTAAAAATATATTTTTTTTTTATTTAAAAGAATGACGTTTATTAAATTTTTAATGAACATCACAAAGAATAAGATTTTCGAAAAGATCAGAAAATTCTAACCTAATTTGTTGTATCACACTCTATATCTGTCATAAAACTTACTTTTAAAGTTGTAAATGACACATTTTCTTAGTGTTTTGTTTTCGGCCATCTTGTTTTTATAAAAATAACAATATCTCGGGTATTATAACAGCTAGATAGGTCAAGTTTGGACTCATTTCACATATTTTTTTATTCTTTATCACAATATATGCGAATCGTTTGTTTTCCGCCATCTTGGATTTTATAAAAATTTAAAAATCGAGATATCTCGGAAACTTTAATTGCAAAGTGGGTCATGTTTGGATTCATTTTAAAGGGATTTTCATAAAGATTAAGAATATCATAAAATTACTGCTGCGGATTACAGCCGGAAGTTTGTAAAGTCAAAATTGATAAATTGTAACTCAAATCATATTAAATGTTCCGTAAAATCTTCAATTTCATGGTAAATTTGTTTATCAGACCGGATTCGATTAGTAATTATTGACAAAGCCATCAGTAGCAATGGATTGGACTTTTCGACTAAAACGATCGCGTTTAGTTAATTGCATGTATCGTGCGGAATACTGTTCATTTTAAACGGCAATGGTTGTGGCCTCGATTGCTCGGGGCTAAAACTTTGAGCGGAAATCGCGGCTGGGAACGCGAACCGGCCGGGACGTGTTCCGAGGCGAGGTTTAGTGGACCGTAAACGCCGCCGCCAGTAAAGTTGCTGGATAGTAAAGTTTTTTTTAAGTTCGCTGTCGTCCTCCCGGAGACCTCCCAACGTCTTTTCAACGTCAGCGACTTTTAATAACGACCAAAGTCAAGGAAAACAAAGTTGCTACCTTTTATAACCCGATACGTTTGTGTTTACAATGTCATTTTTTTTTATAAATTGATTCTGATGTCAGGTATAAATTTCCAAGGATTTCTCTTTTCATTCTAAAAAAAAGGGAATATAAAAGTTGAAAAAGCACCTGATGTGCAATTTTCGTCTTCTTACAAAAGGGGGACGAAAAGAGACCCTCTCGGAGTTAATTTCGTAAATACTTGAATCTGGGTAAAGGGAAGGTCGAATGTAGAAAAAAAACTTTGGAGAACAAGAAGTCAAATAAAAGGGGGGTAGGAATTTCGTCGTTTCCGGGAGGACGGAGAAACGGTCTGCGATAAATCCCAATAAGTTTGCCCATCTCTCGACACATATGCCCCGCTCTAATGTCGCCATAAATTCCGCTAGGGGGCGATTTCTTGAGGATAAATTATGGAACGCGACGCGCGAACGTTTTAAATTCCATTTTGAGACGCGTTCGTATCACAAATCTAAACGTGTTGCGACAACGATTCTTGAAGAAGAAAGGTTACGATTGACATAAGAAATGGTCTAATCAAGTATTTTAATCGAGTGCCGCGTTCGTTTCGGACGAATTAAACCGGTAAATCCCTAGATTCTCGACGTATTGCAACCAAGTTCAATTGGGTCTGGTCGTTTTCAATGGGAAAGTAAAACAGCTCCCGAGTAGCTTTCGAACCTAACCGGATATATCCGGCGTCTAATTACGGGCTTGAAGAGGGCAAGACCGCCACCACTACCGGGTACCAATCAATCCCGAACCGAATCCAACCTAATTGACGGGAAAAGCTCAGGAAGTATTTTGCAGTTGAATGCAAGCATGCACGAAAATTCGAAATTTTTAAGGTGAAAAAAAAAGTAAAATAAAACGTTTTTGTTCATTTCGGTGATGTCGTTTTACTAAATTAAGGGTTATTGAATAACTTCTTTTATAACGTTCACTCGGGATTTAATTTTCCCCCTCTAAATAGGTTCGTCCGGAATATGACGGTGTGAAAAATCGATTTCCCGGAAGGAAACGCGGCGAAAAGCGGAAGAAATGTGATTTTCTCGGTCGAGCGGACGTAAATTCATACCCCACCGCCCGTAAATCACCTGTTAAGTTGTATCGTAATTAGATTGGGTTATCGCGTCCCCCGGAAACAGGGTCAATCGTCCGGAAGTTGGACGAACCCCACCAAATTTCAACATTACAGTAAAATCTCGATAAAACGGACAAAATATTTTTAAGTCATTGTTGTACAGTCACTCCCAAAAGTCATCGTACACCAACGGTTTTAGCATGATTTCTAATATAGGATCAAAGATTTTTGTTTTAAATGGTTATAATTATTCATTTTGAAAAGATTTATAAGTAAAAAGCTCTTAAATTCAAGAAAATAGCAAAATAAATTAATAATTCTTCAAAATTGTTCCATTACAACCTCACAAAAGTAATCGTATAGTTCCAAATGTTGCAATGAACGATGAAATCTGCGTAGTGTTAGTATTTCGTAGGTCCTCCTTCGCTTTTAGTATAGCTTTAGTATATAGTATATATTGTATATATATACTATATACTAAACTACTATATAGTATATATTTCAATCTTCTCGGCATTTATTGCACAAACTTTTCTGTTAAAGAAATCGGAATTTTTCCCCATTCTAGCTAACTAGCGCTACTTACCACTGCCACTAGAACTAACATAAGACCTAGAACTAGAATCATTCGGGTTTAGCCGTCTTGAGAGACGTGCGGCTAAACCCGAATGTTTCTAGTTCTTGGTCTAGTGTTAGTTCTAGTTTTAGTTCAATAAAAATATACACCATAGTAATATCTTAATGCTAACTAGCGCTACCTACCACTGTCACTAGAACTAACACTAGACCGAGAACTAGAAACATTCGGATTTAGCCGCACGTCTCTCAAGACGGCTAAATCCGAATGATTCTAGTTTTAGGTCTTGTGTTAGTTCTAGTGATAGTGATAGTGTAAAATTAGAATTAACACTAGACCGAGAACTAGAAACATTCGGGTTTAGCCGCACGTCTCTCAAGACGGCTAAATCCGAATGATTCTAGTTCTACGTTTTGTGTTAGTTCTAGTGATAGTGCTAGTGTAAAACTAAAACTAACACTAGACCTGAAAGTAGATAATATCGAGTTTAGCCGTGCGTCTTTAGACGTAAATTTTTTCTGTACTCAAACCTTCTCAACATTTTAAGTAATATATTGAGAAGCTGACGTAAAGTTTAAAATAAATCGTAAAAAAATTATGTGTGAGGATTACAATCTGGGTCGCGTGGGCATCAGATGGCACGACTTTAACTGGGAACCATTAAAATTTTTATTATTCATGGTTCATTTTTACGAGGAAAAGTTTTAGTTTTTCGCAGGATGTAACG